GATGTTTTGGTGTCAACAGTCCTGTAAAAAGTATGAACTAGCACTGCTCAGAACTGTAAGAGCTAAGACAGGATACAATCTTTCAGATGGTCTAAAAGCAGCATTAGTGCCACTCAATAGGTTCCCCTCTGAACTGTAATTTTTAGCCTTGCTACAATATAGAGACAGATAAAACTGAGGCTATTGCTTTGCCTCCACGGAGAAAACTGAAACATATGGACTAACCTCTTGAAAAAATAGTTATATGAATGCTGTATCTGAAACAAAAAGTAACTTTATTTTTGAATAATTACTCCAGTGGAATTACTTCACGTGGGCAGATATTCTGAGCAAGATCGGAGGTATAATAAACTTGGAATAACATCTTTTGTCACAAACACAGTAGTAAGTAGCCTCACAGATAGCATTAAAAGGCATATAGTACTAATGGAAGACTAAAAGTAGAATTTGATCAGACCAACTAGCAATGGGGGGTGGGGGGGAAGGTCAGCTGTCTATCCGTGATTTCCCACATCAACTTACGCAGTTTTACATCCAATTTTCCGTCTTAGAAAAGAAAAAAAAAATCAACCCCTTTTTCTCACTCCAACTAGCTGTATAAAAAGGAAAATAGCGAAAACACCCAATCTTGCACATGAATATAGATTTAATTCTACCACCTGGAGCAAACTGATCACCAGCTTCCAGAGTGTTTGAAAAGCCAAACTTAAAAGACCAATGAAAAACCAACAGAACTGAAAACTAGAGAATGTTTTAAAGTGTTCATTTTTAAAAAGGGCAAATTGTTGTTTCCCTGCCTCCTTTTAGCAATTGCAATATTACGTAAAGAAATCCCTACAGATACATTCGAAAAGTTTCTCCCTAGACTCCACGAGAATCTTTATGTTGTTTCACCTGTTCTCATGAATCTGAGAAAACCCACCAAAACATAAGCACAGTCAAAGAAACTGTATTTCAGGAAAAGAACCAACTGTGATCCTTGAAAATCTCATTTTTTATAATGCTGACACTCACAATTAAAAATAGAAAAATGTAAAACATTTTCCTAGAGTAAAGTGTATTCTGCTGTGCTGCTAATAACCATTACCTAGGAAAGTAAATGAAAATATAACACCCTTATATTTGTCATGTGCTTAAAAGCTCATCAGCATCTGCTGAATGCTTCAGTATGAAGCATAACACATACTCAAAAAACCTCCATACACCTAGACTTATGTTTTCAAGTAACAGTCCATGGGCTAAACCAAAATAAAGTGTTCCTCTGGATAAGTCTGTAGTAACTTTCTTGTGCTACTCAACAGAAGATGCAGACAGGAGGCAGGACTTCAATCCCAGGCCAGCTCAGCCCCGTACGACATTGCTTTACCCCTCCTTCTCTAGCTTCTGGCCCACAACTTATAAAATTGTTAAGAATCTTGATCCAGGTGTTGCTGGCTATGCCCCATCGATATCCTTGAGAACATGTGCAGAAATTCCCCACTCCACGCTGTATTACCTGTGACCAGAGATCCAATTCCCTCCCAGGGTCTGACCCCAAGACATGGCCCCAGATTTCTAACACTAGGTCTCTCACAGAAACACTGGATGCTGGATGAAAAGCACCATTATCTTCCACAATAAATGATACAAGATGCAGCTGTCATAAGAGCAGCCACTCTATAAATTTGCTGTAAGTGGTTTTCGGACCTTGCCCTAAAAGCTAAAATAAAACTCATGGTATTTTTTCCAGGCACTGATATTTCTATCATGAATTTTATATGACAATTCACAAAATGACAATATAATAAAAAGTCCTTCCAAATGTGAAGGGAAGTGGAATGTCTGATAATTGTTTCACTTAGGATTACGTTTAAAAACTGTTTGTTAAGGAAAATTTCTACAAGAAAACTCCCCACTAACAGGATAAGGTTTCTGGAGAAGATGCACACTGGCAGATGTGCAGAAGTTCTTGTAAGGAATATGATGCTCCTCTCAAAGCTGCTTAAACTTGATTTTATTTCAGGTCTGCAACTAAATTTTTTTTGTAAATAGATTTAGGCTGTCAATTTCCAGGCATGCTGTGCCATCAGCATGTAGAGACTGCTGTGACAAACGTGGAGGCTGCAGCAGCAAATTTTATTATAAGCTGGTAATTGAATTGAACAGGTTTACATTTGAATAGATTTACTGCAGCATGATCTCTGACATGCTGCATGGGACTGAAATCCTTGTCTGTACATAAAGAAACATTTAAGATAGAGCAGGAATTATTTCAGCTCAGTGTAAGTCCACGCTAATCAATAAATTTACACCACTTTACACAAGAAAGAAGTAAGTATATCATCTTTCTTCATTCTGTGCATAAAGGATGTGGTCAAATCCAAAGCCAACAACTCATCCCCAGACTTTCCCATAGGTAAAAACAACAACACCTGTCTCCAAAATCACCTTCCAACAAGAACAAAAGAAAAAAATATCTCTATTCCAAGTACAGTCCTAAAAGTGTACTATGAATCAGCATGGTTTCAAAGTAAAAGCGGCCACTAAAGCGGGAAAGAAAACAAAACACCCTGGTAAGTTCTTTTAGGTTGTCCTATCAGGCGGTAGGTAATCAATACCTGAAAAGAAGATAAGCTAACTCTCCCCAAGATGAAAAGACTCAGTCATTAAAAATAAGCAGAAATCTTAACTGTGTTTTGACAGAAAAACTCACACAATAGAAGTGGAAGAACTATGATGTACCCAGGAGTGGGGCTAACAAAGGAATGTTCTTTTCAAAGGAATTAGTGATTTTGTCATTTTAGAACTTTCAGAAAAAGGTATGTACTTTTAGGATAGACAATTTATGGAATTCTGACTACGAAAACTTGTGGGATTGATTTGCATCCACAGACAATGATCACTCATGCAAAAAAATCTGATTCACAATGTACATCTGAATTGTCTAACTAAATTATCTCAGTTACCAAAATTGTGTGCAGAAACATAGTAAATCTGCACACAATTTTGGTAACTGGGATAATTACCATTTGTAGAAGAGTCACTTAATTTCCTGATGCAGTCCCAGAAGCTGCACACAGACTAGATTTCTAAATATATATGTTAATGGATGTGCAATGGTGCCCCCAAAATTTAAAAGAAAAGTTCTAAACCAGTTCATCTGTATGTACTCTTGGTAGCACTGTTTCGTTCCCCAACAAGTTGTTCAATATGTCTGTATATTAGGTACTAGTGGTATGGGATCTTAATAAAAAAAGTTGTTAAGAACAACAATCCCTTTCAAAAGGTGCTATACTCAGATATTCCTTTCTTTCTACAGTTTATCTAAGCATCACAATTTAATCTTTAAATAACTGCTCCTAGTGGTCAGTTATATGAGGATTTTGGCAAGTAAAGAACCCTCCCATCACCACTGGAAGAGAGGGTCAAATCCTGCCGTTCTTACCGAGGCAAAATCCGCATTGAATCTGACAGGAGTTTTGCTCAAGTAAGACTAAGGACAGCAGGATTTGGCTCACAGGATCATAGCATCTGCCAAAGCAGTTGCACAGAACAAGGTTTATTCTTAGTAAGTATAATCCAATAAGAATATGTCTGTAGGTGCGTGATAGGCCTAATTTGTCCATCATCTCTCCACTGGTCTATGTTGTTCTTGGATTTTACCCTGATAGCTGTATACTTAAACCTGTTTTAAATTACCATCAAACGATTTGCAAAAATCAGCCATCTATTAAAGCTGACTTTTTAAGCACTGACAAAGCAAAATTGCATGGGACTGTTTTAAAGTGGTTGGTTAACACAAAGTACTCTCCACTGGAGACAATATTTAGAAAACATTACGTTGATTTTATTTTAAAAGGCTATCTAACTCTGAAGTCCGTGACATCTTCTGTTATTCTTTCTTGGTGGTAACAGTACACTACAGTAATAATGTATACAATACATGCACATAAAAGTGTATTTTTGCATATACCTTAACAGCAATAGAAGTGCATAGCAGGCGACCAAGATTTAAGGAATTGCCTCTTTCTGTAACATAGATGAATCAGTTTCCAGGTGGGATAGTACCATTTCTTGGAAACATTTACTTATATTTACCTGTTATTCAACATCAAAATGTAACTGATGAATTCAAACACTCAACATATACTTACGGTGAGGGGCAGGGGCTCTCACGTGCTTAAAAAAAAAAAAAAAAAAAAAGGGGGGGGATTCCCCCCTTTTG